TTGGGTTTCCCCACAACTTCAGAAAACACCGGTCCACTACACAAACAGGCAGAAACTCATCCTAAAATTTCCATGTTGTCCTTTAGTGCTATCTGATACTCCATACACACCTTTCTGGGTAAAGCTGGCTGAGGACCCAGGTGAGCTGGACGGCGGCACTGCGAACCTGCTCATAGTCATCGGTTAAGAGCTTACATGCCTGAAACAAAGGTTTCCAGATCATCATTAGTTCTGCCAGCCCTTACTGACATTTCATGCTACCAGTTTGTCTCTTGTTCTGTTTGTCATTTTAGGGGATATAAATACGATTTAGGGGGAGCAGCAAATAAAACATGATATTGGATCTACTTTGCTGGCTTGTGTTTTGTTTCTGAGACCACTTCAAGATGATGATTCTTTCTTCTCAAGTGCAAAACAGTTTAGGCCCATCAGACCTTGGAAAAAGTTGCTTTTCTGGATTAGTGGTCATGGTGATGGGGATGTTCTGCGAGCTTCAGTCCAAAAATAATTCCTCTTGAGTTCTGGTCTGCACTATGTTGTTGTTGTTTAGTCGTGTCCGACTCTTCGTGACCCCCATGGACCAGAGCATGCCAGGCCATCTTGTACTAAGAGGTCTGTACTATAGGGATTAACCAAAGGATTTTGGGGGGCCCTTCCAGAAGAAGGACTGCAAAGTGTAACGAACCGGCCTCAATGCTGATATCTCATTTCTTGTTTTGCCACAAGCTGGTGGCGATCCTTGGATTCATCTGATGTGAAATACTCATAGTTACAATGCATAATCAAGACTCCACATTAGACAGAAGTCATAAACCAGAAGTCATTGGAAAGACATGGGAAACTCTGTTATACTGGATCCTGCTCAGTATGAAGTCCGGGAGAGTTTGATGGGGGCCCTTCCCAGCCCTACCTGGTAATGCCAGGGTGAAAGCAAACGCCCGAAGGCATAGCCTCTGTCACAGCTCTCACAACCCATTATAACCCCCCGTGACTGCGCTTGTCCTTTAAGAGGGATAGCAAAATGTTAGTGGCAGTCCAGCACTGTGATTTACACCAGCAACAATATTCTAGCTAAAAATATTTCAAAAATGTTTTAACAATTCAATATTAGGGTTTAAAGAAAAGTATCTCAAAATTAGAAGGGAAGCAAAACCACCTTTTACGGGTGAAACAGCAAAGAAACCATGTTTTCCAGACCCACTTGAATTAGAGAAGACTTTATTTATTTATTTATTTATTTATTTGATTTTTACCCCGCCCCTCTAGACCATGTCTACTCGGGGCGGCTTACAAAATAAAACAAAACAGTATAAAAATATATAAAATCATAAAAATGCATTTTCTTACTGTTTATAGATCGCAATAAGATCATCGTCATCATCCTGGATTCATCCCTAAGCTTGGAGGTCTCAGTGGTGGCCAGGAGTGCATTTGCACAGCTAAAGCTGGTGCACCAGCTGCACCCGTTCCTTGAGATGTCGGATCTGGCTACAATGACACATGCCTTAGTTACATCCCGTTTGGAGTACCGTATTGCACTCTCTGTGGGGCTGCCTTTGAAGACGGTTCGGAAACTTCAGCTGGTGCAAAACTCTGCAGCCAGGCTACTGACCGGGGCCAGCTATAGGGAGCATATAACACACCTGTTACAGTAACTGCACTGGCTACCAGTCTGCTTCCAGGCCCAATTCAAAGTGCTGGTCATTCTCCTCTCGGTCCTATTGCCAGCACAAGCAGAGCTGATGGGGACACATGGGAGAGGGCCTTCTCGGTGGCAGCTCTCAGGCTATGGAACGCTCTCCCTCGGGAGATCAGGATGGCCCCTTCCCTTTTATCCTTTTGAAAAAAGCTAAAGACCCATCTCTTCAGGCAGGCTTTTAACAGTTATAACCGAATCCCTGAACCCCATGTTAGCAGATAATTTTAAGCTTTTCCATTGTTTAATTTGGCGTTCAATATTTAATTTATTGTGTTTATAATTGTGTGACTGTTAATGTTGTGAGCTGATTTGGGTTCCTTGTTGGGAGAAATGCGGCATAGAAATAAAACTAATAAATAAATAAATAAAATCATGATCCCAGAACTTCAGAGCTGGAAAGGACCCTACGGCTCATTGAGTCAAGGAGAGGCTGGTAGTGCTGGTATACTATAATGCAGCTTATAGTATCCCATCAATTCTCCATAAAGACAAAATCAACCTGAAAATAATTTATCTGACAGAAACACAGTATAGGGAGGGGTAACACTGACTCATGTTTAGTTTCCTAAGTGTAGGGTTTCAGGCGTATCAAAGTTTTCACCAAGACCCACCTTACTAAACAAATACAGCACAGACGTTACCTGATTATAAATGTTTTGCTGCAGCTTTAATCCCCTTTCGTGTAGCTGGAGCTATAGGGGAACATAAAAACACACCAATTAGTACATTTCCTGAAAAAGATGAGAGTTGCACAACCTGACATGTAAATAAGCTGTGTTCTTTTCCAGCAATCTGGAAGCTACTCGGTGGGGTTAAGTTGTGTACTCTGAAAACACTTGATGACTTGTCAAATGGAACTAGTTCCGTTTCTCTTTATGAGGTACGTAACTTTTATGCATGGTAGGAAGCTGTCCAAATTTATTTATTTATTTAATGTATACCCTGCCCATCTAGACACAAGTCTACTCTGGGCTTCTATGGGTTTTTTAACAATAAAAATGAAATAAAAACAGTATAATAAAATAAAAAGAAACAATAGTAATATCGTTCAAGATGGGGAAAGAATTAAAATATGAAGTGATGACAGGAGGGAAAGCGTGCCTAAAGAGCAAGGTCTTAAGTTGGCTCTTAAAAACACCCAGCGAGGGAGCCAGACAGATCTCTGAGGGCAAACTGTTCCAAAGGCAAGGGGGCACCGCCAAGAAGGCCCGGTTTCCGGTTTGTAGGAATTAAATCAGTCCCCAATCCATTTCATTCTTCTCTGCACATTTATCTTGGTTCCATGGCATAAGCACTCCCTACGGCTGGAATTCACACTCTCCACTGTAATCCTAACTAGAAACGGGCATGAACCTTGGTTCAGAGGTTCACGCCACTTTGTCGGTCCGGCACCAGAGGTGCCACACGTTCCCTTCCCCCACTTTCCCAGCCGGATTCTCCACTTGCCAACCAGTGGACGCTGCTCTCCTCCTTCTCCTCTTTGGGCATTTGTACAGTCCTGGCAAGTCCTCCCTCTGCCTCCTCCAGCAGCTGCCCACTCAAAGGAAGAACTGCAGGAATCCCTACCTCGTCTTCTTGTCTGAGTGAGTGGCTGCCAAAGGAGGCGGAGGAGAGAAGCAGGCCCTCCTGCCAGGACTGGATGAATGCCTGAAGAGGAGAAGGAGAGCAGCATGTGCTGGCTGGTGTGAGTGGAGGATCCGGCCAGGGGGCTGGGGGAAGGGAACACACAGCACCTGTGGTGCTGGGCTGACAAACCAGCACAAACCTCCAAAGCAAGGTTCATGCCCATCTCTTCTCCTAACCCAAGCAGAAGCTTCTTCCCTGTTCTGATGCCTCCACCTCTCTCTCTCACACACACACACAAAGTTTTTCCTTTATAAGGAAAGCTGGACTGAAGAACAAGGTGGATCTATTCTACTTCTGAAACACCCGCACCTACCATGGCTTTTATAGCTGCTGTCCTAACCCGAGGATCCTGGTCATTGAAATGATCCCCAATGATCTTCTGGACATCTTTGGGAGGCTGGCCTTCTGCTTCTTTCACAACACCTTTTTCCACAGTCCCAAGGCAGCCAATTAAAAGGAGGCATTTGTTCCTTACACCATGGGAAGAATCAGTCAGGTGCTGCGGAATAGAAAGTGAAACAAAGACAACTCCTTGTTTTCTCCAGACTGAAGCAATTTTAGTTGCAAACATATAGCTCCTGTCTTGGGCTGCAACTTTCTTCTGGCATTTTTAATCTGTAGCCTGCACAATTAAATTGTAAACCGCCCAGAGAGTGCTTTAAGCACTATGGGGCAGTATATAAGCAGCACACTTTACTTTCTGCCTGATATTCCCATCCTTGGAAAGGACACAACCTGGATATTTTACAACACACGTATCAGCAATCATGAGTCTCCAGGCAAACCAAAAGGATATAAAAGCATTTTTGTTTTCAGTATCTGGTGCAAGTCTCGCACTCATTAATCACTCCTCCATTGGGATCACCCACCCTCTGGCAATCAGCTATTCCCCTGAACAAAGGCCAGGCCACTAACTGTGTTTCTTCCTAAGTGAAATTGGATTTTTAGGTTTTCACAACTGTCAGGGGGCCTTATCTGACATTCCCATCCTTGGAAAGGACACAACCTGGGTCCTTTACAACACACGTATCAGCAATCACGAGTCTCAAGGCAAACCAAAAGAATACAATAGCCGCCCCGAGTAAACATGGTCTAGAGGGGCGGGGTAAAAATCCAATCAATCAATCAATAGCATTTTTTTTTGTTTTCAGTATCAGATGTAAGTCTTGCACTCATTAATCACTCCTCCATTGGGACCGCCTACCCTCCAACACTCGGCTATTCCCCTGAACAAGGGCCAGACCACTGACGGTATTTCTTCCTAAGTGAAATTGGATTTTTAGGTTTTTGCAATTGCCAGGGATCTCCCATATTAAGTATTTTTGGACTACAGCTCCCAGAATTCCCCAAACAGCATGACCAACAATGACAAAAACAGTAATAACAGATACGATTTTCAAAATCCTTTTGGTAATGTTGGTAAACAACAAGAATGGCTAGATGGATTAGTGAGTTAGCTATCTGACTGCAAAGCCAGAGGTTGGGAGTTCCATTTCCCACTGGGCCTATCAGGAGAAGAGCCAGCCTGGGTGGCCTTGGGCAAGTTGCACAGTCCCAGAGCGCCCCTAGAGGAAGGGAAGGGTAAAGCACTTCTTTGGACTCCACACCTAGAAAATCTTACTGTACACTGGAATTGACTTAATGGGGCACAATTATTATTGTTAAATAGCATGTATCTAGGTAGGGATGTGGTGGCGCTGCAGGTTAAACCGCATAAGCTTCTATGGTGCAAGGTCAGAAGACCTGCAGTTGTAAGATTGAATCCACGCGACAGAGGGAGCTCCCGTCGCTTGTTCCAGCTCCTGCCAACCTAGCCGTTCGAAAGCATGCAAAATGTGAGTAGATAAATAGGTACCACCACAGTGGGAAGGTAACGGCATTCCATGTCTAGTCATGCTGGCTACGTGACCACGGAAGATTGCCTTCGGACAAACACTAGCTCTATGGGTTAGAGACGGGGATGAGCATCGCCTCCTAGAGTCAGACACGGCTGGACAAATTGTCAAAGGAAACCTTTACCTTTACTTAGCATGTATCTCCTTCCCAGGGATTAATTCTACACATGGTATTAACTGGACAGTTACACCTTTTATGCGCTATAAGAACAAATGCAAAACCACTTTGACAGTATAAGTTAAAGCCACTCTTTAACATCCATATACTCAAGGAGTGAAGAATTCAATGGCCAGTTCCAAAGACAGGACAATATTCATTCCAAAAGATCGCTCCCAGAATACATCAGGAGAATGGCATTCTGAGAACTGAAGCCCAAAAGAAATGTTTCCCCATGTGCTGACCATCCTACTTACCTTGCAGGCAAC